AAGAAAATATGCAGGCCCTTACCCTAGATTATCCAAAGCAATTTTGAGAAAGATAGAAAAAAAAAAAATCTGGAAGACTATAGTATCTAATTTCAAGACTGATGTACTGTAAAGCTGCAGTAGTGAAGAACTCGGGCAGTTCCCATGAGCATAGACAAGGAGTGAATAGAGTGTAAAACAGATGTACACATGTGCGGTTGCTTAATTGATTTTTGGCAAAGTTACCAAGGTGATTCAACAAGACATGGGCAGTTTTTCAACCAGTGATAGTTTGGAAAACTGGATATTGATCTTGAAAACAACAAATTCAGCTTAAAGTGGTTCAATAGGCCCTATATAAGATTTCAGATTTACGGATGAAAGTGTAGAAGAAAATCTAGTGAAGAATTCCCAATACCTATAAATCACAATCATAAAATTAAAATTTATTTTTCTCTGAGATAGGACCTCTTATGTATGAGTTATTATGTAGCTCAGGTTGCCTTAAATTCATGATCCTCCTGCCTCATCCTCCTAGGTGCTGGGATTGCAGATGTATGCTACCATACCTGGCTTAACTTTTTTTTTAAATTAGATTTTATCAAAATTTAAAACCATGCCCAAGTGTGTACTGCTACAGGAATGCAGAGACAGTCTGTGTATTAGGAGAAAATACGATATACATAAATCTGATAAAGAACATGGTTCTAGAGTGTATTATATAAAATATAAATAAAAAGAATAGTAAATAGTCTTGTATAACAGGAAGAAGAGCCCAATTAAAGAACTGGTTTGAATAGACATTTCACCACAGTAGACACAGCAAGTAACAAGTGAGCACATGAAAACATGGGGTCAGGTGCTCAGGTATTAGGGAAACACCAATTATAACATTGAAGAGGTAGCACTTCCTACCTATAGAAAAGATTTTAAAAACCAGACAAGTATTGAGGATCTAAAACAACCAAATCTTATGTTGATGGTGAGGATGCACAATGATAACTCTGCTTTGGAGAGGTCTTAGAATTCTCCTAAAATTATACTTCCATAGGTATTCATCCAGGTGAAATGAAGTTTATATTCATAGGAGAAAAACTTACTTATTTTGTGTGTACGAGTGTATTGCCTGCATGAATGTAAGCGCACCTGTGTCATGCAGTGCCCATGGAGGTCAGAGAAGAGGGTATTTGATCCCTTGGAACTAGAATTAAGAACAGTTGCTAGCTGCCATGTGGGTACTGGGAATCGAACCCAGGTCCTCTGCAAGAGCAGCCAGTGCTCTTAACCTCTGAGTCATCTCTCCAACCCTGAAAAAAATTATTTGAGACAAGTCTCACTGTATCACCCTGACTGGCCTTGAACTCACTGTGTAGACCAGGCTGGCCTCAAACTCAACAGAGATCTAGTTGCCTCTGCCTTCCAGGTGCTGAAATTAAAGGATCGTGCCACCAAACCTGGCCTCATAGACAATAAGTACATGCTTGTGGTGGCTGTATTTGTTCTTTTCAAAAACTGGAAACATCTCAGATGTTTTTTTCTAGTGGAGAGTAAACTATTATATGTGTGTAGTAGAATGATACTCAGTAGTAAAAAGGAGTGAACTGACGCCCTTGGAAACATGAATGAATTGCATGCATATGTGTAACTACACGAAACACCAGAATCAAAAGCTGCAGACTGTATAATTATATCTGGACAAAGTACAGCTATAAGGTCAGAAAGCACATGGAGCCACCCTGTGCAACTGTATGTGTTAGAGCATAAACACGTACATAAATAGGGTGAGTTTTATGTAAATTATATCCTAATTTATATTTTTTATTTTTTGAGATAGGGTCTCACTTTGTAACCCTGGCTGGCCTGAAACTTGCTGTGTAGATCAGACTGACCTTGAGTTCACAGAGATGTGCTTGTCTCTGCCTTCTGGGTGCTGGGAGTAACGGTGTGTGCTGCCACACCCAGCTACATCCTAATTTTTAAATGGAATTGTAAGAAATCCAGAAACCCTTCAAACATTACACATGTAAGAGAATCCCCAGGGTGTCTTGGTAATGTGCCTTTTTATGAAGATTGTCATAGATTCTTCTAAGTTTTTGAAATGATATACTTTAGAGGGGATATGTTTACTGTTCAGCTGCTTTTTATAGATGTTGGCAAATTAGGTAATGGTAAGGGTGTTTGGTAGTTGTTCAAGTCCTGACTACTATGTCTACTACTAAACTAGAAATCAGTGGTTAATTTGTAGTTACAATGATTTTGATGCTTGTGTAGTAAATGTAGTTAACATTAGCTCAGTCAGATGCATTTCATGTTGTCAGCTTCCTTTTGATATCAGTAGATCTCAATTGTCAAAGGGTTCTGAGTAAAATGATAACTGTACAGATATTTGGATCTTATCCAGCCCCAAATGTACATATCATGGCTGTTTGAGAAAAAAGTGTTGTTAAGGATGTGAAGCAGCTGAAGTTCACATTCGTTGTGGGTGAGGATGCACAGTGTATGGCTAAATGGAAAACTGCCTAATTGCTTACAGTTTACTTTGTTTTATATGACCAGCCAGTTCTATTCCTAGATGCTGCTGCAGGTGGGGTGTATATCCAACATACCCACCTACCCAAAGATTTGCTGAATGTTTATAGCAGCTTTATTATAGTCCTAAACTGGAACAAATAACCCATTAACAAGTATGAACTAAAACCCCACTAACAAATAAATAGCAATGAAAATTAATGAACTAATTATATATGTAACAATGTAGAGGTATCTCAGATAAGCAGTGTTTAATTGTTTAAAAGATATAAAAGACTATATCCATGTGATACTTCTTAAGTGAAACACTAGAAAAGAGAAATCTTTGATTAGAAGAAATTGGTCAGTTGGTTGCCTGGGGCTAGAGTTGGGGATTGCCTGGGGAAGGAATGATCAAAGCACTGTATGTTGTGATTATGTGTTGGTTGCATAGTTTTGTACATCTGCCAAAACTCAATTGAACCTTACACAAAAATGAATGCATCTCACTTTATGTAAATTATACTCTAAAGTTGGGGGTTTTTTGGGGGGGACCATTTTAAGTAAAGACTTTATGATAGTGTTTGAGAGCCTAGATTTCCATAGTTTCAGTTTTTAAATAAGCTCATGCCATATAGAAAATAGCAGTAACATTCGCTTCATTTGCAAAGCTTTCTTTCCTGAGCACACAGGGCTGAGCTAATAACTGCCTTTGTGTCTGTGGTGTCTTGTACCTGCCTCCTCTCCAGCACATTTCAGAACTTAAAATATTTTTTTTTTTACACTTTTTGTGTGACCTTTTTAAGAAAAAAGGATCAGCTCTTTTTATGGTATAATGTATGCTAACCACAAACCTCCAAGTCAGAAGTTTGGAACTCAAACCCATGGGTGGGGGGGAACGTTTAAACCAACCCTTAAATGTAGTTTGATTTTATTATTATTATTTGTGTGTGTGCGTGCACGGGGTGGGGGGAGTATGTGTAGAGAGAGAATATGTGTGCTATGGCATGCATATGGAGGTCAGAGAACAACTTTCAAGAGTCAGTTCTTCCTGGGGGCTGGAGAGATGGCTCAGTGGTTAAGAACACTGGTTGTTCTTGCAGAAGACCCGGGTTCATATCTGAGCACCCACATGGCAGCTAACAACTGTCCGTAACTCCAGTCCCAGGGGATCAGACACCTTCTGACCTCCGCGGGCATTGCATGACACAGGTGCACTTACCTACATGCAGGCAATATACACATACACATTAAAAAAAAAAAAAGTCAGTTCTTCCCTTCCACCTTGTTGATGAAAATTCTCTTGTTTCTGCTGGGCTGAGTACTCCAGGCTTGCTGGCCTACAGCTTTTGACCATTTCTTCTGTCTCTGCATCCCACCTTGTAGTGGGAGTGCTGGGATACAGATGCAGACAACTACATCCGGCTTATTATGTGAGTTCCTGGAATGGAATTCAGATCATCAGCCTTTAGTGGCAAGTGCTTTTACTCACTGAACCATCATATTGGCCCCCAAGAAAATCTCTCTTAACTTTTACCACACTTGCCGTTTGCTTTAAAATATAAACCAGAGCTTACATTTATAACATTACAAATGAGATGTATGGCAGTAGTGCCTACTATTTGTTGTTGCTGGGATGCTGATGGGACCAGACTGAAAATGGTGCTCTGTCCAGGTGCCATCAGAAAGGGGAAGTGGGTAGATGAGAGGAAGAGGAAGGAAAATAAGTGGTCTATAAAAATAGAATGATCACGTTTAAATAATCAGTTTGACAAAGGAAGGTGGACATGGAGAACAGTCATTTATTCACTCTAAGGACCAACTACTACATTAACAAAGGGGAGAGACGGGCAAGAGTACTAATGGAAGACTTTGTAAGGGGAGTGGAGAAAAGTGTGGCTCTTGAAGGCAGAGGCTGTGAAAGTAGCTGCAGTGTCTTTCAGGGAGAGTCCTAGCTGGAGGTTACTGGATAGATAGGAAGGTAGAAGTACGGATTAAGGAAACTGTGAAAGGGAGTGGGTGGTAGGTATTATAGTAACTTTTGAACTGATGTGACATTTCACAATCAGCCTATTGTCAGATTTAAAATACAGCAATTGCTTGCGTTCCTTCATACTCTTTAACTCTTTCATATAACTGTCATTCTTTCAAGTCTTAATTATTAGTATTTAATACTTAGACTTTGTATTTAGATAATTTTACAAATTATACTATATTTTTAATGTTTCCAGTTTAATATATTTTGTGGGTATTAATGATTTTTGGATAAAATTGAGCCTTGACTTTTGTTACAATTTTCCAAGGTGGTAAGCAGAATGGGGAGCCTCATTTTAATCTGCATTTAATGGAAGGCTGGCAGGTTGGACACATTTCCTTGTTAATTGCGCTTCCATATTTTTGCTGTTTCATTAGTACATCTTTTTTTGTGGGGGCAGGGGATGCCCTGTTTAACATTATCAAAGTTTCCCTATACGTTAACTGATTCTCAACTGCTTGCTTTATTGCCTCTGCAGATTTGATAATGGGCTGCGTTAAAAGTAAAGAAAACAAAAGTCCATCCATTAAGTATACACCAGAAAATCCCTCGGAGCCCGTCAATACAAGTGCCAGCCATTATGGAGCAGAACACAGTGCAGTGGCACCATCCTCCTCAACTAAGGGAGCACCAGTTAACTTCAGCAGTCTTTCTATAACTCCATTCGGAGGATCCTCAGGAGTGACTCCTTTTGGAGGAGCATCTTCCTCATTCTCAGTGGTGCCAAGTTCATATCCTACTGGCTTAACAGGTGAGGTTATAATGGCAGTTCGACTCTCTGAGACCATAACCATGGGCTTTGCATACTTAAAGTCTGGCCACTGTTAAGAAAAACTTCTTGCTAAAGGACTTTTTTTCTTTTAAATGCAACAAAAATGCATTTTTATTTATCCTTAGGCACAAAGAAAGCTACAGAATTTTTATAAATATCAATTGTGTGACGCTGAGATTACATAGATTATAAAAGGTACAACCTAAAAGGTTAATTTATAAAAACACAAATATAAATACCTAGACCACCCAAACTGTACAGCAGCGTTTGTTAACATCAGTGAGTTGTCACTGAGCATCATGTAGCTTCTGCTTATTTTTGAGAATGAAAAAGGCAGTATCTTGGTATTATGAAGAGTTTGTGAAGAGTTTTGATCTTGAATATTAGGCAACAGGGATATAGCCTTCAGCACTGTCCTGTCCTCAAGCTTTTGACTGTTTCTTCTGTCTCTGCCTCCCATCTTGTAGTGGGAATGCTGGGCTACAGATGCAGACAACTATAGGCAACAGGGATATAGCCTTCAGCACTGTCCTGTCCTCGAGGAATAATCTAGCCGAGGCTCTCTGAAGAGCTGGAGCCCCAGAGCACAGCTTCTTTAGGTGTCCCTGGCAGCGTTCACTGATTGGCAGAAAGACTAGAGAACTTTTCTAAAGATCGTATGTATAAATTAAAGTCTCTAACAAAAGATAGTCTTTAAATTTTTGAGATAGGGTCTCATTTTGTAGCTCGGACCAGCCTCAAACTTACAGTCTTTCTGCCTTAGCATCTTGAGTTCTGGGATTACAAGCATGTGTTGTCATTGTCATGCCTGATCCCACAGTTTTTTATGTTTTTGTTTTTGTTTTTCCTTGACCTGGTGCTGGGGATCAAACTTAAGGCCACCATCGTGCCAGGCAAGTGTTCCACCACTGAAACTGTATCTTCCACCCTAAAAATCTTAAAGTATGCATGATACAATTCTGGGAAATTTGGTGTCCGGTGGTGATTATTTGCTGAATTATGCCATTATTTCATTAACTTATTATCCGAGTAATTGAGCAGCTATTGTGTGACCAGCACTGAGAATACAAAGATTTAAAAACATCCTGCTCTCCCTCAAGAATCTTAAAACATAGGCCAGGTCAGAATCTCTGTGAGTTCCTGGCTAGCCTGGTCTGTGTAGCACGTTCCAGGCCAATCAGGGCTATATAGTGAGACCCTATCTCAAACAAAAGAAAGAAAAAGAAAAAGCTTGTAACTTTTCAGGACTATAAAGTGCTATCTAGTATTAAAGTGTATTATATTATTTGCCTAATAAATGTTAATTATATGGTAGTATAACAGTAGTACAGTGTTTATCAGATACTGATTTTTATTACATTTATTTGTTTATTTATTTGTGTGGGGAGATTACATCCTGGTGCTCATGTGGAGGTCAAAGGACCACTTGCAAGAGTTGGTTCTCTCCTTCCACCATGTGGGTTCTGGGGATTGGGCTCAGGTCAGCAGGATTGGCAACAAGCGACTTTAATGACTGATCTACCTGATAGACCCAGATACTGATTTTTTGTTTTTAATTTTTGGAATCTAGAAAAGGAGTTCTTTAATGGTATCTATTAGTTTTAGATAATTTCTCAGACTTATAAAAGTAGGAAATCCAAAGTTCCAAGAGGTATCAGTGAAAATAAATTTTCTCAGCAAAAGAAGCACCAGATACTGATTTTAAAAAGGAAAATCCTGATTCTGAGATGGTTGGTGATTTTCCCCCAGAGTCAGTTGATAAGCAGGAGGCACAGACTTAGTGCCCTGTACCAGAACTCTATTTATTACATTGCCACATCCTTTCAGAGTACAGCAAGAAGTAATAGGTGATGATCTTTCATGGAAGAGGAGATTTTTGAGATTTTTAAAAGGAAAGAAAATGAGCTCCATTCATCAAGGGTCCCATATCAGGATGCTTTTCCCTTGAAGTAACAAAGCACAGCTGGCTTAGAAAAGAGTGAGCTCCAGGATTCCTGATGTGGGAGTTCCCACAGTGTCAGCAAGGTCTGGGATTTCTTTCATCTCTCTCCTGTAACCCCTGGTGCATCCACTTTATTCTTAGATGTGAACACTGCCAACCACAAATTAAGTGACACATAACTCTTATAACAATCATTGTAGGCAAAAGAGAAATCTCCTCTACACACATGGACTGCATGATTGTCTTCTTCAGACTGCTTGTCTTTGGACCAATAACAGTAGCCAGAGGACTTTCATATACTGGATCTATTAGACAATATTTGGGCAGTGTGAACATCACAGATTGGATCACAGTCCTAACTCCAGCCCCCCGAGTGTAAATGCTTCAATAACCAATGACCTTGATACTGTTTCCGAGACATTAACAAAAGCCTTGAAATTATTTCGGGAAAGGTGGTCATTCAAAACGGCTAAAGTAAAGGTTGATGCCAGAAGATATTCCTTTAATTAAAGCAGTTTTTAGAAATGTAATATTTTTATTCTTTGAGAATTTCATGCATGCATACAATGTATTTTTTATCATATTCACCCTCCTTTCCCTAACTCCTCCCAGATCTACTCCCGATACTTAAAGCAGTTTATGTGAAACACTGTATTTATGAATATCCTTATATTAACTGTAAAACTGAATGTCAGTGTACCAGGTAGAGCTTCTAAACCTGATGGAGTTTACGTATAATACTGGATGATAAAGTGACTAAACAACTAAACAGGATGATCAGTAGTGCTTAATACTGTGAAGACAAAACCAAGAATCCATGTTGGATTGATTACAACCACCAAAGCTACAGCTCCAGGGGGTCCAGTGCCCTCTTCTACCTGCATACATATGGCATAAACTCTCTCTCTCTCTCTCTCTCTCTCTCTCTCTCTCTCTCTCTCTCTCTCCCCCTCCCCCTCCCCCCTACACACACATATATATACATAAATAAAAATACATTTTTTTTTTCTTTTTTCTTTTTGAGACAGTCTTCCTATAGCCCCAGCTGTCCTGGAACTCACTATGTAGACCAGGCTGGCCTTGAACTCACAGAGATCTATTTGCCTCTGCCTCCCAAGTGCTTGGATTAAAGGCGTGAGCCACCATGCCTAGCTTAAATACATCTTTTTTAAAAAAGTGAAGAACTCACTCTAGCAGCTGGATAGAGAATGGATGGTGGAGCTGAGTAGGTGCAGGTTAGCAGGGTAGTGCTCTGAGTCCCAAGATTCAGAGAGATGGTGCAGTAGAAATGTAAAGTGGGGAAATGATTTTAAAGGGAAGACTAATAGTGCTTGTAGTAACTTGGCTTAAATACCTGATAACACAGTAGTACCTTTGCTTAGAGAGTAGATTTGAGAAAATACAGATTAGAGGAGCACAAATCAAGAGCTTCATTTGTAGAAATTTTAAATGCTTATTGGACATTGAAGTAAATATATCCAATAGACAAATCAGTTTTCTGTTACTTTGTATTTATAGACAGGATTTATAATGCTTTCTGTATTTCACAGTATTTGTACTTACCAGTCTTTGTAGTTTTACTTCCTGCCTCTCCCCCTACCCCATTCTTTAAAAATACTGTTGACTGTTGGCAAGTTGACTGGACTATTCTAGATAGAGTTTATACATACTTGAGTTAAGAATCTGTTGATAGGACAGTGAGATGGCTCAGTGGGTAAAGGTGCTTGCTGCCATGCCTGACTGTGTTCGATCCCTGGGACCCACATGGTGGAAGGCAAGAACTAACTCCCACAAATTATCTTCTGTCCTTCACTGTCTACACACACACACACACACACACACACACACACACACACACACACACACAAAATTATAATAAAAATTAAGAAAAATATATTGGTCCTGTAAGTATAACTCAGGGGTAGAAGGGCTATTATCCTTGCATGTATGAGGATAAGGGTTTGAGTCCTCCTTCCCAACCTTCACAGAATAAGTAGAAAGACAACAAGATTTCGGTCAGATAGGATCAAGTTCAAGAGTTCTATTTTTTTTTTTCAAGAGTTCTATTTTACAACCTAGTGATGATAATAATAATATATTGCGTTCTTAAAAGTTGATAAGAATGGATTTTAAGTTTTCTCACTACAAAAAATGGTAAACATGTAATACATGTATTTAATTTAACTTGATTTAGCCATTTCACAATTTATACATATTTCAAAACCTCTTGTTATACATGATAAATATATACATTTTTAGGATAATATGAGTTTTTAAAACTAAAATGCCTGCTTTGAATGATTTTAAACATTGAAGTGTCATTTTTATTATATATTTCTGCTCTATCATTCTGATTGTACATAATAGGTTGTTCAGTGTGTTCGTCTCTTAAGAATGTTCATACATTGTTCAATCTGACAGTAATTTTGGAATTTATACTGTATAATTCATGTTAGCTGTACCTTTAGCTTCTAAGACAAACATGACATTTTCATTTTTAAGCATAGCATGAATCTTAAGTAAACCCTAATGATTACTGTTAATGATTATAGACAGACACATGTACCCATTATGTGGGCACCCACATTTTCTTACCCAGTAAGAAACTGAGGAGATAAGTGACAGAAGTCCATGGTGCTTGGTGGTGGTTTTCCCTTCTAAAGAATTGATTTGAAATGTGGCTGTCAGGTGAAGCCAGAAATTTTGCTTTAGAAGTCAACTTTAATTTATTTCTGACTGTAGAGTTTTATAGTCATATACTACTGTGATTTCACAGGAAGACTTAGAAATCCTATTAAATTACAGCTCCTCAAAGCCCCAACTTCCAAAAATTTCTAGTAACTAGGGAGAAAACTGATGTGTCTTTGCTGGCAGTAGTTGTTTCTCTTCTATTAATTCAGCAGTGTAATTTACCTTGGCTTTTTTTTGTTATGTCAGGTGGTGTTACTATATTTGTGGCCTTATATGATTATGAAGCTCGAACTACAGAAGACCTTTCATTTAAGAAGGGTGAAAGATTTCAGATAATTAACAATACGTAAGTGTCGTGTATATTTTGTAAGACAAATACTGACAGAAACCTGGTTTCTATGTTAGAATCACTGATGGAGTTGATACAGACGTGAAAATGGTAGCACATGGGTCTCTGTCGCCTGGATTGGATATGTATGTGGCATCTTCAGACACATTATATAATACTGCTGTGACAGGCAAAAATTACTAATCATACTGTGCTGGGGTTAACTTACAAACAGTAGCGATCTTAGGACAAAAAGTTCTGGCTTTGGCCGCACATGCCTGTAATCCTAACACTGGAGAGGCTGAGACAGGAAGATCTTGAGTTTGAGGCCAGCCTAGGTTTCATAGTGAGTTTCAGTCCAGCTTAGATACATATCAATTCCCTGTCTTTTAAAAAAAAAGGAAAAACCAAGGTTGGAGAGATGGCTCAACATTTAAGAGTGCTGGCTTTTCTTTCAGAGGATGTGGGTTCGATTCCCAACACCCACATGGCAGCTAACAACTAACTGGCTATAACTCCAGTTCCAGGGGATCTGATGCCCTCTTCTGTCCTCCTTGGGTTCTGCATGACACGGATCCAGTTAATACAAGTGCAGGTGATACACTCATACAGATAAAAATAATAAATAAAATATTTTAAAACACCCAAAAAGATGTCCTTTAAAAAATGTGTAGGAAGATACTTTGTATTTATATAAATACCAGATGACTTGAAAGCCTTATTTGTTTGAAAAAACAAAAGGGAAAAATTGGATAAGAAACCCCTGTACTTTCAAACTTAACCAAATTAAGTTGCTTTTTCCTTATGTCACTCTTAGACTTTCTGTCATTTAGTGGTCTGCCATAGAAAAATTGATGCCCGTTGTGCAACAGATCTCATTTCATTAGCAGGCATGGCAACCACTTTGTAACTTCTCGGAGCATATACTTAGTGGTCTTTGCTTCTAGTCGTATATCCCTCCATCCTTGTTTCTCCTCTCATGCCACTCGGCCATACTGAAGTACTTCAGTTTTCTGAGTCTGCCGGAATTCCTCACCTTCTTCACACCCTCTTCATGCCTTTACACATACTATTTTTTTCTGGAGTGACTTTTTTATTTTTTTCTCTTTTGGGAGATGGGGTAGGGAGGGTGCTTGTTTGAGGCCAGGGATAGAATCCGGAGTCTCAAGCAATGCAAGGCCAGTATTCTGTCACTAAGGTATACCACCAGCCCTCATTTCTTTCCTTTTCTGGCTAGGTCTTTAAACTTGTCCTCTAAAATGTTATTCCTGTGTCTTTCTCAGTAATGCCTTCCCTTTACATTCTTCCTTGCCTGCTGGCTCAGTTCCCACACCCTGCTGTATTAAGCGTTGCTCTTAGGTGTTTACTTGACACTCTATACAAACCTCAGTCATAGCTCCCATCAGATTTTAAATTATAGTTCTTAAGTTGGCATGTCGTTTTTTTTTAGGCGTGATTCTCTGATTCTCAGCTTGGGACAAAAGTGCACAGGAGGGATTTGGCAGTGTCTAGAGATATTTTTGTTGTCATAGTCTGGGTGAGAGTGTTCGTACTGTCACCAGATACACTGGTAAAATCTTACTATGCACATGACAAAGGCTTATCAAATCCACAGTGTCAGAACCATTAAGGTTGCCAAACCCTGTTCTATAGACTCAGTTTCTCAAGGTTAAGGACTGTTTCTCATCTTCCCTGTTATGAAGTCATATATTTAGTAATACTCAGTTTGAATGAATCAGACTCTCTTTTCAGAGAGTCAAATAACAAAGTTTTAGTCTGAAGCAGGAGGACTGCAGTAAGTTCTAGGCAGCCAGGGCTATATATATAGCAAGGCTCTGTAATACAATTCTTTGTTTATATATCTGAAAGTACTTAATATGAGCTAAGACAACACTAACCAAAGAATCGGTTTGCAAATACTTGAATTACCAGGGACTTTTTTTTTTTTTTTTGCTCTTTTTGAGATAGGGTCTCCCTGTAGCTCCAGCTGCCTGGAACTCTCTCTGTAGACCAGGCTGGCCTTGAACTCACAGAGGATCCTGCCTGCCTCTGCCTCCAGAGTTCTGGGATTGATTAAAGACGTGAGCCACCATGCCCGGCAACTTTGATTTGGTCAGTGTGCATGTGTGTGTGTCTGTGTGTGCGTGCGTGCGTGTTTCAGGTATGTGCCATGGTGCATGTATGGAGGTCAGAGGACAACTTATGGGAGCTGATTCTCTTTCCACCATGTGGGCCCAGGGATCGAACTCAGATTATCAGGTTTGGTGGCTGGTGCCTTTACTCACTGAGCCATTGTGCCAGCTGTAGAAATTCAGCTTTTTAATGTTATTTCTCATTGTTAAGGTTTTGGCTGTTAAGAAGGAAAGAATTCGGCAACAAAAAAAAAAAAAAATGAAAAAAAATGAGCAGTTGACATATACTAAAACATAGATGAACCTTAAGAGAATTATTCTAAGAAGCCAATCATTAGAAGACCTCATAAATGGTTCCATTTATATGAAATGTCCACAGTAGGCATATAGCCACACAGAGGCGAGGTTAGGCGGGGGAATGCAAGCAACATGAGTGACTGCTGGTGGGCATTAGGCCTCTTTTTATTTTTTTTTAACTTTATTATTTCAGTGTGTATGATGAGTGTGTGGACATGGCATGTGGCAGCCAGAGAGACAATTTAGTGGAGTTTATTCTCACCTTCCACTTTTACATTCGTTCTGTGGATTAGACTCAGATGGTCAGGTTTGCTTAGCAAGCGCCTTTATCTACTGAGCCATCTTGCTGTCCTAACATTTCTTGTAGGGGTGATGAAATGTTCAAAAATGTATTATTCTTATGGCTGTACAACTGAATGTATTAAAAACTCTTAAAGTTTACTCTTTAAATGAGGGGATATTAATATACACAGAATCTCAAGCTGTTAAAACACATTCAATTTAAATGTAATGAATTGAAAGATTTATCTCCCAAATTACTTTATTCAGTATAGTTTATTGTCTTTGATTGAAAGAATTAGTGTTAAAAAGATGAAGTAGAATTCAGGTATGTGTTGGACTTTCGTTGTTGTTGGTTTGTAACAGACTTGGGCAGTTGTGCTTTTGCTCAGTCTTCAGTCCCTTAATTCTTGAAACCAGTCTTTTATAAAAATGGAGATAATTCTTCCTCTTTGCTTGAAACAAGAAACTCTACCTTAGATAATGGTCTACATTGTGGTGATTTGTTGTTTTATTTGTTGCAGGGAAGGAGACTGGTGGGAAGCAAGATCGATTGCTACAGGAAAGAATGGTTACATTCCTAGCAATTATGTAGCGCCTGCAGATTCCATTCAGGCAGAAGAGTATGACATTACTTCATATTTTATTAATTATTTTGATTTTTTAAATGTTTTAATGCATATTCTACTTAACCGCAACTTTACACACACAATTATATACCAGTCTTAATACAGCTAATGTATCATATTAATAGATGTTATTTGAGAATCAATAATTAATGTTAAGTATCTGCTCAGAGTAACACCATCAGTGAATCTGCATTAATCATATTGCATTGTGTTTAGTATCTGTCCTTTATTTTTCTGCTCTTTGTTTTTTTATTTATTTATTATTTATTTTTGGTCTTTTTGGGACAGGGTCTCCCTGTAGCCCCAGCTGGCCTGGCATTTGCTATGTAGAGCAGGCTGGCCTTGAACTCACAAAGATCCACCTGCCTTTGCCTCCTGAGTGCTTGGATTAAAGATGTGCCCAACCATGCCAAGCTGTTTTTTGTTTTATTTTTAAGACAGAGTCTCCCTGTAACCCTGCTGACTTGAAATTTTCTGTAGACTAGGCTGACCTCGAACTCAGAGATCCGCCTGCCTCTGCCTCCAAATGCTGGCAACATCTCCAGAGTTCTGTGAACTTTCCCACAGCAGAGACTGTCATTTTTAGTTACTAAACTTCATCAAATCAAGCCCACACAAATTTAGAGTTCCCTATAATTTGGGTGTGATCTACTTGCATTGTACTGAATACAGGTGATCTCACTGTTCCTGAAGAATCATGCCATTCTCACTCTAATCTTAATATTTCCCTGTCGCTGACAGATTTTCACTCTGTATTTACTGTCTGTCTGTATTCGTTTATTGTTTCTGTGGTTGGCAAGGGGCGTTCAGGAGACATCTTGGGTAGTTAGAATGTGGAAAACTACCAGCATATTCCAGCAGTAATATTTTCACACTTGATTATAGCTAAAAGGCTGAGAAATGTGCTAACAGTAGTATTCTTTAATAAATTCATCTTAGGATGTGGTAAGCCATGTCTATGCTATTCTTTGTCATTGTACTTGTCTGTCCCGTTGCTTTTTACTGATACATGTATGTAGTTTTTCTGACCCTTACACCTTTCCAACAAAAACACACCATTTTTTTCCAGATGGTATTTTGGCAAAATGGGGCGAAAAGATGCCGAAAGATTACTTCTGAATCCTGGGAATCAACGAGGTATATTCTTAGTAAGAGAAAGTGAAACTACTAAAGGTACAAATGTTATATTAATACATTTATAGATTATCTCTGGGTAGTGTTTTGAGAAAGCTATAGTAAGTGTTTATTTTCCCTCCAGGTGCTTATTCCCTCTCTATTCGTGATTGGGATGAAGTAAGGGGTGACAATGTGAAACACTACAAAATTAGGAAACTTGACAATGGTGGATATTATATCACAACCAGAGCTCAGTTTGACACTCTACAGAAATTGGTGAAACACTACACAGGTACGTGAATGTTTCAAGAAAGGAATTATGTCCTGATTTTCTATTTTACATAAACAAATCATTATTCAAGCTTTAATACACTTATTTGTATTTACACACGTACTTGCCCAACAGAATTTATATCTAGTGTCTTATATTATTATTGTATGTGTGCAGGTATCTGTGTGTATGTGTGCGTGGTGTACCATGCCATAGTGCACGTATAGAAGTCAGAGGACAACTTGCAGGAATCGAGTCTCCTTCCACCATGTGAATTGAACTCATGCTGCTAGACTTGGCTGCAAGTGCCTATACCTGTTGAGCCATCTAGTTTTAAAACAAGGAGCAATAATCAGGTGTGGCCCAGGTCACACAGCAGGACCCTCTCTTAAAACATAAGGAGTAGAGCCTGGCATGGTGGCGCACGCCTTTAATCCCAGCACTTGGGAGGCAAAGGCAGGCGGATCTTTGTGAGTTTGAGGCCAGCCTGGTCTACATAGTGAGTTCCAGGACAGCTGGGGCTACAAGGAGACCCTGTCTCAAAAAGACAAAAAAAAAAATAAGGAATAGATAATAGTGTCTGACTTGGGTTATTGGATAATGTACTAAAATTAGACCATCTTTGGAATCATTATACCTTTCTGGCATAGTGTTTTTATAAGTTCCTTTTCATAATGTATAAATGACGAGATAGATTGTGATAGTAAATTAGAAAGCAAAACAGAAGATACTTTATTTATGTATATTAAATTTAAAAAAGCTAACCACAATATTAAAAAGCTGTCTTAGAGCTGGGGTAGTAGCTCAGTGGTAAAGTGCTTACCTACATGGACCTACATGGACCGAGGTTCAACCCCCAGCTCTAGCAAAAGAAAAATAATTCAGTCAAAAGGTACTTCAGATGCCCTCTTTGATTCTTTCCTGAAGGAGCTGAATCTTTTATGACTTCCTAAAGTATAAATCTCACAAAATTCAGTCTGAAGCTGCTTTTTGGCTTATCCTAGAAAATCACCCTATAGCAACTATGTAGACATCATCCTTCAAGGACCTTTGAAAAGTATTCTTTTTGGAGTCCTGTGTCTCAGAATTTTTCATTCCCCATTTGATAAGTAAATACATCTGAAAGTCTTTAAATAATTAGTACTAGAAGAAGGGAAGTTTCCATGGTAATTTCTCTTTGATTGACTGCTAGCTGCAAACTGAGAATATCACGTCAATCAGCAAATTTGGTGTTGATTAAATAGGTTGCCAGGCAGTGATACTGCTGGTAATTGTCCTTGTTAGAATGGGAGCTTGTGTGGTTGATTGATGAGAATGGGAGGAAAAGAGTCTCTTACAATTAGAAGTATCATATAAGCAGGATGTACAAATCAGGCCTTTATTTCAAAGTCAATCTCCTTAAGTCAGCTTCTCCCCTTGATTTGTAGTATCTTTTTTACAATTAAGAAAAATTTTATTTATTTATTTTATTTTTTTATTTATTTTTTGGTCTTTTTGAGACAGCATCTCCCTGTAGCCCTAGCTGACCAGGAACTCGCTATGTAGACCAGGCTGGCCTCAAACTCACAGAGATCCACCTGCTTCTGCCTCCCAAGTGCAGGGATTAAAGGCATGCCCCACTATGCCTGGCTTATTTATATATTTTTAACTTTAAAAAAAAAAACTTTATTGAGAATTTCATACATGCATATAAGGTGTTTTGATCAAATCCATGCCCACTCTCTCCCCTCTAACACCTCCCATATTTCCCCATGACTTTTTCTAACAACTTCGTGTTCTCTCTTTCTCTCTCTCTCTCTCTCTCTCTCTCTCTCTCTCTCTCTCTCTCGGCTTTTTGCTACTTTAACATTACCCTTCTGAAGAGGTAACCCTAAAATCTTTTACAGATTAGATAAGAGCTTGCAAATACTTTGTCGACATTTTTGGCCCTTTGGAACAGAGTATGTTGCTAAGAGGCCAAGGACATTTTGACTTTTAGATGAGAAACTGGCTACTTTTCTTTGGTGTCTTTTTTTACCCTAACTGCCTAGCCAGTTCCTACCTCCTATTCTTATCACACCATCCGCTGAAGAGGTTACCCAAGTTGCTGAAAGGGAATCGAGACACAGACCACTCTGGTTTCTTCCATGCTGAATAGAGAGATACAGGGTGAGCAATTGGGGTACCCCTTCAGTGGGTCTATCTAAAAGACTCCCAAATTGCATAACTCTTATCTGTAGGGGGGAAAGAAAGTCCTTGACTGGTGAGTAGGAGATGTGAAGGAGAAGTAAAGGCAAGAATAGTTAGCATTACAAGTTCTAGACAGAGAACCAGAAAAAAGTCAGAACAGGGCAAATTTCAAATGTTCCTATCAGAGTCCATTGGGATTTCTTGACAAGAGCTTCCAAAAGCATCCCTCTGTTGGGTTCCTCCTCATTTTTCTTTTGTCTGCCAAGGCTAGACTCAAGAGTGAGGGATTCAGGATTTGCTTTCAGATATTTTGATAGGTATTGGAGTGGTAAGAATCAGTGTCAATTCCCTCTCAAAAGCTTCTAGATAGGGGGAGAAAACAAATTTAACCATCATTTTAGAACAATAACTGGTCATCTCCCTTAGCTACAGGTGGGCACTACAGTATTGCAGACAAAGATTTGAAGTCTTACATCTGAACAGCACTTTCTGATTAGGAACAAAATCATCAATGAGAAATAATTATCTAAATAATTTTTTATATGGACTTAAGCCTAATGTCTGGGAAGTGTAATCCCTTGAACTCTTAAAAAAATATACTGATGACTTTACTCTTTGATTATACTTTCCTTTTGGGTGTTTAAGACCATATAGTTGGCCCAAATGAATCAATTTATCTTTACACTTAAGGTCATTTGAGAATCTGTTCCTCAGGGGTCACACGGGCTTGGGAGGAGCCCCTGGCTCCTTTCTTTTACCAGTTCCATCTATGTGAAGATATGTCAAAGGTCCTGCTCAACCATGTCTGGTTTCTCTTGGAAGCATGGATGAGATGTTTCCTCTGCGTTGACCCTTCTCTTTGTAGACTAGACACTGGTTCAAGTCCATCTGGTGGGGTCTCCATGGCCTCCCTGAATGAGAGGACAGGTGACTCAGGACAGTTAACAGGACATTTTGAGAGCTGTTCCATAATCCCCTGGAACTTAAGTCGACCTTGGAGGGCAAGGGGCAAAAACTGTCCTTTAAGTCCCTCTG